GAAATGGCAATAATTATTACTCACATATCAAGAGTAAAATTTAGACAATGCCCTCAGTGATTATGGCGTACACTTGCCACGTCTCGAGGAGGGACTCGGCATCACTCCTGCGCCAAACTCTCACCAATACTAGCCTTATAGAATTAATAAACTAAGCCAATTCTCAATGTTGATGGAATATATTAGAAAGAAAGTTTGACAACCTCCCCACACGAACGGTCAATAAACAAATCTAATAAGAATGTAAGCTGTATATTCATCCACGATGAAGCGTATGAATGGCAAAATGAATTGCCTTGTTCATGACATTGGTTTTGACTTTGTTTAAACCACGGACCGAAGTGGGTCTGTGAGAGCCAAAATCATATTTATACCTTGGAAGTTATAAATTAAATATATGGGTTAGGTCAAGACCTAGCAACCTCATGGCTCTCCAAGAGGCAATTTGACTCGTTCTGCTCGATAAGTTATGGCATCGAGTCAGTGTGGCCAAGCCATGCATGCATGGATGCACGCATTCGTGAAGATATGTGCAAAATTGCAAACAATTTAAGAGTAGCTCAGAGCAGAGAGAAAAGTGTATGAAAAGCCTTTACATTGAAGCGAAGCTAGACTTTTTGTATAGATTCAATGAGCAAAATTTGTAACGTTTTGCTTGGGTGATTAATGATAACATTCCCCTTATTACTTATAGTATAAGCCTGTCACCAACCTCCAGCAAAGATCGCTTCTTTGGAGATACCGATGAGACCCAGATAAGGTTGAAACTCCAGCCGGTCCTGGATTAGAAAACTATTTTGGGAGGCAAGTACAATAGAATCTTGGGACGTCATATCATTGTAGTAAAGTTCACTTATCAAGCATCACAAGCTCATATATATACACACACACAAGCACCAACATGTATTTTTATCAGAAGCATAAGAAGAGTCCTCATGAAGCATAAAACAATTAACGATGATTATTAAAATGAAACTTGGATTTAAAAGGTAAGACAAATACCGGTTATAGGTGATAAAATAATTAAATAACCTGTTGTGTGGTCGGATGACAGACATTAATAATGCCGGCAGCCGCTTTTTCTTGCATATAGCGAATAAAAGTATTCACTAGGATACGATTCATTTGAACTAAATTTTCGTCTACATAATCGGCCTTAGCTGGTTGATGAGTATCATCTTGACAAGTAGAATCGCCAAGGGTTGGATTCGCGACAGTTGCTAAGCCAAGGCACATGCAAAAATCATTTGCCAGCCGCAACTTTCGCTGCACACCCTCCAATTGGGTTGCTTCGAGGCGCATTCGCTGGACAATCTTAAGAGGAGCATAGGTACCGGAAATAATTTGCTGTTGATGCTGCTGCTGCTCGGATATAACAGAAAAGCAAGCTTTTAGCAAGTCCTGGCTCCCGGAGAGATAGTGCATTCGCATAGCGACCTCTTCATTTTTTAGGGATAATCTGCCGCGCCAGATTAACGGGTGTTCCTGGAAAGATGAGGTGCAAAGAGTAAGAGCAGAGGGAATATGAAGTAATAAAAACCAGAGAAACACATGTAAAAAAATAATTTTTCCGAGGCGATCAATAGGCTGACAAAATCTGACATAAAACAACACTGAACTAGACTGAAGACTATTGAGATGAAAAAACGTATAACTGAGGAAAATAACTCACATTCCCAACTTGAAGGGTCGAATAAACATTCATTTGGGAATTAACATTTTCATCTTGCGGAGGAAGTGAAGCTTGTGGCCTCGAGCTGCCAATAGCCGCCATTGCAGCCATCGTAGCTGCTGCTGCATAATAATCTGCATTTTGATGATCATGCGAGATTTGGTCCAACGATGAGGCAGAATGGCTGGGAGAGGGTTGTTGCAGTCGCTGGCTTGAATCCACGAGCTGAGCAGATAAAGTGGTGAGAGATGGAGAACCTCCGATTGGATTCTGTCTTTGTGGCTGGGCCTGTTGCTGCTGCTGACGGGCCAAAAGAGAGTAAAAATAATTAGTAAGGGGATTGGTGGCAAATTGGGCGGCCAAATGCTCAATTGATTGAGATGACGAATCCGTCTGGCTAGAAGGGGCTGAGACGATATTTGGGGGCAAACCACCGTTCTGAGCAGCAGGTGGCCCAGAATTGGAGGAGACAGTGGTTGTGGAGATGGTATTAAGCATAGAAGTACTTGCTGAAGATATGGCACAATTCTCTGCTGAAGTTGGGACAAGAATCGTGGAGAGTGGAGGCTGAAGACTTGAGGGTGGGGGGGGAGTACAACTGTTTGTGGAGTTAAGTGTTGGAGATACGGCGACAGTAGTCGAAATTGATGGAGTTGCAAGGGGAGCTTGATCGGATGGAGTCAAGTTATTGGCAGCAGCAGCTACAAGAGTTAAAACCCGTAAGGATGTCAGCTGGTGCTTCTGCTGTTGTTGCTGCTGAGGTGGTTGCGACGGTTGCTGATCTCCTGACGAGGTAGTACAGGGCGTTGTCGCCAATATCGGAGCTGAAGACCCATCAGAAGAAATAACCGTGAGTATACCGAGGGCAGGAGAAGGTATCAGCGCATTGGCCTGGAAAGAGTCAAAGTATGTTATGAAATATAGATTTAAAAAATAAAGTAATATTATAATAAAGATTGAATGAGTCAGCATTCCATAAGACGGGGAAAAATATTCAAATGGATACCTAATGAAAATGGTAAGGCAGTCGAGCTTGATGTGGAAGGCGAATTCACCGGAATTTTTTTGATTTTTGTAAACAGGTATGGCAAATGCGTAACATAAAATATCAATTTTTCAGGGCTTAAAGTATATTTTTG